TCAATGTGAATAATCACATTGTTAACAGGCCGGGCCCCGCCCCCGGCCGCGGGCGGGCTTTTGGCCGCCCATGGACCGCGGGCCAATTTTGTACTCTTATTGATGTGAATGTTAACATGTCAATGTGAATATTCACATTGTCAACGGGTCGGACTAGGCCCGCCCCGGGCCGCCCATGGGCCGCGGGCCAATTTTACACTCTTATTAATGTGAATGTTAACATGTCAATGTGAATATTCACATTGTCAACGGACCGGGCTCGCCCCGGCTCGCGGCGCGGGTTTCGGGCCACCCACGTGCCAATTTTACATTCCTACCAATGTGAATTTTAAAATATGAATGTTCACATCATAAAATTGCTAACCGTTCAAAAAATATTTATAAGGGTAACAAAATTAAATAGAAGGGCATAAGTGTCCAAGAAAATAGTGTAAATCAATAAAAATGATTTTATGGAATAAAACTATACATACATGAGACTAAATAGGTTAAAAAATTCTTTCATGGACTTTTTGAGTTAAAACACTTCTAAATGAGATTTATCAATAAAAATTCCTAAAAAGAATTCTTTGAAATCCAACACATATGAATTATTTGAAAAGTCCTAACAGGTACGATTATTTTTCCTTATAATAACACTTCAATGCATTAAGAACAAGTATAAAAAAATTTCTTAAAAAGTCCAACACATATGATGATCATCAAAATATTAAACTTTAATATAATATAATAAAAAAAAGACATTTAACTTCTTGAAAAGTTCAACATATATGATTATTATCAAAATATTAAACTTTAATATAATATAAAAAAAGGAAAAAAATAAGACATTTACAAAAAAAAAATATTTAAAAATCACAATTCACACATATAGATAATTGTAAATACAATCCGTGCATAACACGGGTGATATGCTAAATCCAACACATATGAATTCCTTGAAAAGTCCCAACACATATGATGAATATCCCTCATAATAATACTTTAATACATTAAGAACAAGTATAAAAAAAAAATTCTTGAAAAGTCTAACATATATGATTTTTATCAAAATATTAAACTTTAATATAATATAATATAAAATAAAATAAAAAAGGCATTTAATTCCTTGAAAAGTCCAACATATATGATTATTATCAAAATATTAAACTTTAATATAATATAAAAAAGAAAAAAAAGAAGACATTTAAAATTAAAAAATATTTAAAAATCACAATTCACATATATAGATAATTGTAAACACAATCCGTGCATAGCACGGGTGATATGCTAATATCCAAGAAATTAGAAAGGTGATTTAACCATATTATATAAAACCTGACTTAATGAAATATTAAAAAAAAAAAAGATTAGGTGAAATAAAACACTATAAAATAAATGAAATATTAAAAAAAAATAAAGGTTAGGTGAAATAAAACACTATAAAATAAAATTTATAAAAAAAATGATCATAATAAAATTTATCATTGATAATTATTTTTCAAATTATACACTATATAAAAATTTCCCCAAGTTTTTTTAACCAGCTTCGACTCGTCAACGCACACAGCGACCCATCCTTGTCCATCACGACCACAGCCTAAAACCCTTTCCCCTCTCTCTCCCTAAAGCCCTCCTCTCCTCCTGAATTAGGGCTTTTCCCGCCTTTTCACTCTCTTCTCTACTGAAAGAGAGAGAGAGAGAGCATTCTCTGATTCTGGTTCTAGGGTTTCATCATTCAATTCAACAATGGTGTCCCCTAAGCTACTCCTTTCCACCATCGAGTCTTCCGTCCTCAGCCCAACCTCTCCTTCTCCCTCTCAAAGGATCGAGCTCATGCACGCCATTCGCCACTCTCTCCCCTCTCTCCAATCCCTCCTCTCTTACCCTGTACACCTCTCTCTCTCTCTAAGTATCACTAAGCTTTGGTGAAATTACGATGTTTAATCCCACCTAAATTTTGTTATTTGATTATTGTGAATGATCTTTGTGAAGTTGAAATACTCAATTTGTTTTCTTTTTGGCAGCCTCCGAAACAGTCAGACCGTGTTCAAGTCCAGTCCAGAGAAGTCAAGCTTCCGGATTCTTCCCCAATTTCACTTGATGAGCAGGATGTTCAGATTGTCAGTATTGGTTTTATTTATTTTTTTGTTGGGTGGTTGTTGTTATGATTGCATTTTTAATCAAGCTATTACAGTGAATTGTTGTTTTTTTTTTTTTTTAATTTGGTTGCACGAATTGAACTATTTCATTTTGAATGGATTAATTCAAAATCTCGGAATTTACGAATGAGTTAATTTGAATTGGTTGTGGAACAAATTTTAAATCATCGAATTTAGGAACCCATTTAATTATCTAACTTGTGAAGTGGTAAAATTCACATTTTTAGGACAGTTGAATGTGCCCAGGCCCCAAGATGTATTAGAGAGAGAGGAATCCTAAATCTAGGGAATATAAGAGTTAGAGCTCTGAAACTAAAAACCGTAATGATAAAAAACTATTCACTAGAAGCCCACCTACCTATTCATAGACATAGGGCAGCTCATACAACATTAGAACTACCAGCAACTAACTCTCAACCACAATACAAACCACATCACTCATTGTCCCAGAGGGAAAATGTGTATGATGGTGATTTGTCGGTCAGAAAAGTCATTGGACAAGGCCAAATGGCGAGAGACATATTGCTGACTGTCAAGTCAGTTGCTTTATTATCTTATGATTGCTGATAGCTCGATATATTTTGCATGAAATGGTTTTGCCTTGCTGTGTGTAATTCTTTGGTTGGGTCATTTCTGTTATACTTCATTTGGTTACTAAAAGAATGTAGAAAAACAGGATGAATTATAGAATTTTACATACGAGGACTTTTTATGCGCTAGGCTTTGGGCTTCACCAATCACCATATGATTTTTGTGTCATATTTACAAAAAATGTCAAAACTCAAGGCGTGTGTTCTAAACATAGGTAGTTTATGTATTTTCAATTAGTCGGCATTGAAATTGCCACCAAATAATAATTGTTTTCTCTTTTAATTTTCATTGCGAATGATCATTCTTTGAGTATTTTGTTCTTCATTATCATTATTTACGCTGAAGTGTTCTGGGGTGGTTTGGGGGATGAAAATGGCTCAAAAATCCCAAAATCCAAAACGTTTGGGGTGCATCAAAAAAACAAATGTACCTTTGCATTTTTTCCATAGATCTAAAACAAGGGTGGAATGAAAAATTTAGGCAAAAAGCCAAAATATCACATCAGCCTTCCATGTTTTCCCATACAACTGAAATAAAAATTCATTCCAAAGCACATTAATCTTTTTCCACCTCACAAAAAAACCAGAATTTTAAAAAGCTACCCAAAAAGCTAATCCCAAACATAAGCATTCTGTTTCTAGTCCTTGTACATAGGGTGGTTGCATCCAAGCATAAAAGTGAAGCCACGTGAGAAAACAAATATACCTTAATGATTATCAATGTTCTAATTATCAATGTTCTTCTGTTTTCAAATTTTCTTTGCATAGACTGTAACCCTTGTTGTTTGGCTCAAAGAGAAAAGTGTTACCCTTTATGAAGTTGATTAAACCTTACCCTCTAGTGTTACTGCAACAACAAACAACAAAACTAAAGGGCTTTTTTTAATAGCTGTTTTGAAGGATTCAAGTGAAGAAAATGTTTAGGTTGTCTCTCCTTTTATAATTGTTTGGAGAGACAAATTTTTATTTTAATGATGCATATAAACTACACTAGATGTACAAATTTCATGTTGGCTTTTTACCAAACCAGGAAATTGTAAAGGTTGAGAGAGGAAGACAATAAGTAGACCATGATTTTGTGTTCACTGGCTGCCCAACTACATAACGACGGCAACCTGTATTCAGTGAGTGAGTCAGTAACTAGTATTAGATTAGAGAGTAGTATAGTATAGTGTAACTTACCCTAAAACTTTTCTCCATAGTCACATATCCATACCCACCATAGCTTCCCACCTGCCCTATAGCTACCATTCCAGGTGATGAAGATGAAGATGGCAATGGAACCGCTGCAAAATCACACACACCACCAAACTAATATTAAAAATAAAAAATTAAAAATATCAAATTACATTTTTTGTTCCGGGTGTCAAAATTAGTGGGTTAGTTAATTAGTTAGTAGTAAGTTAAATTACTACTTATAAACATTCGATGTTTCACCATAAATTCAAACTCAGAATCTCCCCCCAATTTATTTCTTAGAAATCAAGGAGTATAATCACTTGAATGTTTGAAAAAAAAAAAAACAATGAAACCCAAGGATCTCAACTACTTGACCTAAACTTAAGTTCTTCATAAAACTATCAATTGATCCATATCAAAAATAGAAAAATAGTTTAGTCTTTAGCATAATTTGAACAAAGTGACAAATGTAAAGCAATAAATATATACATATTGTAAGTACATCTACAAAAGCATTTTGTTTATGCCCATTATTCAATATTCTACCTAAGTATGTAATGTGATAGGGGATGGGTAGTGGCAGAAGAAAGATCGGTCTTTAGGTCTGATGTGTGGGGATAGTTTCTTCGTTCTTCGGTACCTTATTTTTTCTTTTGTTCACATCCCTAGTTATTTTCTTGTTTACTTTAGGCCTTGAGTGTGGGTTTTTAATGGGGTTGATGCTGGATGTCTTAACTGTGGCTCCTTTTGGTTACATAATAGTATATATGTTGAGCAACAGTGGACTTGCTTCTTGTGAGTTAGAATATCTGCAAGGAGACATCAAATGGACCGGAATCTCAATTGAAGGGATGTTCATCCATCATTCATTTCGTGCTGGATTCCATTACCTTCAGGAAGGCTCCTAATATGCTTTACTGTGACATTTCTTCCTTTCAGCCAATGCAAATTTATGTTGATAACGAGGCGAAATTGACCCTTCATGGTCTTGTACAGGTATTGCTTTGGAAGTTTGGTTTTTGGTCTTTGCCTTATTTTTAACCATTATCTTACCTCTCAATTTTAGGTGTTCCTCTTTTGTTATGTTTTTCCCTTTTCTGACATCTGCGGTCATTAGTTCTTCCTTAACATCATCTCTGTTAAGATGCTGAGCATTTTTTACTTCCATCCGGTCAGGCTGAGGATCTCCTTCACCGTTTTTTGATTTTCTTAGTGCTCCACCCAAGGTGATACTCTTCTTTGACTCTAGTAATTTCGCTATCAGTAGCCGTTGTCTTGGAGCTCATTTTCCCCAATCAATGGTTTTGCCAAACGTTTAACTATTCTGTATTTTTTTATATTTATTTTGTGCAATTGTGGAAAGTGTTTGCCTTTTGAGCTTCTCATGTGGCATTGTGCTTGAGTTTATTTGATTATATTTCTATTGTTACTAATGCAGGTAATATTATCGCCAGATGCAGATCCACCAGTTGTCAGAATAATGGATTGCAAGTACGACATGCACTCACAAACATTCTTCAGCTTTCTTTTTTTAATGGTGGATGCACTTTGATGCTTCGATAAAATCCTACTCTGAGATCACGTTGATATTAATTTCTTGATGGATACATATTACATTCTACTAATATGGGACTAATCTTCAGAAAATTTCATGGTGCATATTTTATGAAGATTTATGTGATCTTCACATTATTATTGCAATTGACTAATTTACTTTAGGCTACTATTTTGGACAATTGCTTATAGTTAAGGGCATTGAAAAACAAACATTAAATTTAAGGCTTGGGGGTGAGACAATGGTTGAAAATATAGATGTCGAAGTTGATGTTCTATCCCTTACCTATATTTTCTATGTTGCTTATCTGTCTTGTGAATGGTTAGACTTGATGCATATTGATATCTAATTTTACTTCCCTTGCAGTAAATATAGATATGAACTGCAAAAGAAGAAAAGGGAACAATAGATGAAAAGTATTGGTGAATGTCTCCTCTGTTTGTAGTTTGCTGTTTTTCTCTTATTTATGCATTAATGATCAGTTATGAGGAAAGATACTAATAAAATTATGCACCTGAATGATAGCCAACAGGGTGGATTTGAAGGAGCTCAAGATGGGGTAATTAACTTGGCCTTCGAATCTTGCTTTCACTTATAATCTTCCTATTAAAATTTGCATATTGTTTTCCATTACCTTCTTGTCTTCTAATTTCCCAATGACTTCATCTCCTTTGTAATTCGTGGATGTGCCTTTGAATGTTGAAATGCACATAGAACATGGGAAGTGTAGTTTCAATTAAAAAAGTGTCAAATTTACCAAAACAATATGATATACTACTGATTGGTATTCGAACTTGCCCAATTTGACTATGTTACACGGATTCTTTGGAATTTCGAAGGTACCCGTGTCAACATGACACGACACGGGTATAGGTGCGGAATATGGCCGGGATATGGCTAGATACAAACGGATACGACTGAAACTCAAAGATGGAGAGAGAGAGAGAGGGGGGGGGGTTGAAAGAGAAGTGGAGACGAGAGGATTAGGGTTAGAGAGGGGGAGATGAGAGGGTCAGAATGGGAGAGCGCGGGAGGGTTAGAGAGAGAGGAGCATATAACAATGCATTAATGGAGAGGAAATGAGTTGCAGTAATTGAGGAAATCCTTGGATAGACAAACATTGAAAAAGAATAATTTTTGAAAGAGTAAAAGTCTGTCTAATATTTATGGAAGAGTGCAGGCTTTTGTTTATGTAAAATGATGATAACTAAGGACAATAGAAAAACAACACGTGGCTACAAAAAAATATAAATATATCGGTTGGGTTGGTTTCAACAGGTCTGATATGATCAGATCTGCACTCCAAACCGGAAACCGAAAATTATTAAATCTTTCGACCACAGCCGACCAAGATGATTTTTGAAACTGCCCGCAGCTGTCTGGGTTCAGACAGGCCAGTTGGGTGGGTCAGGTTTTGTGGGCCTGTGCACAACCCTAATACCGCAAGGTCATTTGATCTAGGGGTGTTCACGGGTCTGTTCAGCTCGGGTTTATCCTTTACCCATCAACCGAACCAACACCTTCGGATTAAGAAATCAGTGATCTGTGGTCAACCGAAGTGTGGTTCGAAATCAACTGAATTAAAGAGGATGGTTTGATGGTCGGTTCGGTCGATTTCGAAAATCTAAGTAGGGGTGAAATTTTTGTGTAAAATGTTGAATTGAACTCATACTCATACATATACATATGCACACATACATCTATGATAGTGTCACTACCAACACCATCGCCATCGTAATCGTAGATCGTCGCCATTGTTAGCTACCTCATCTCCACTGCAATCATCACCATCAAAAAAAGTGAAGCACATATGAGGGAGAAATGAGTTTGTCTCTCAAAGAAAGAGATGAAAAATGAGAGAAAGAGAGGCCAGAGACGAGAGTGAAGAGAGAGAAGAAGAGATTCTTTGACTTTTGGTCTACCTAGGGTTTATGAGAGAAGAAAAACGAGAAATAAATCTGTGAAGACAATAGAGAGAGAGACTCATCATTATTAATGCTTTGGAAAGTGAAAGGATAGCCTGTCTTTGATAGACTAGAGTCTAGACTACTATGCATACTCCCAATGTAAATATATAAATACTATTATATACTCATTATTGTTTCGGTTTGGCTGGGTTCATCGAATTTATATGTGGAAGATCCATTTACGGTACAGGTATGAAGGTTTATGATTTTTTTAGAATGATGATTAATTTTTAATTATTTGATAATATGTATATGTAAAGTTTTAGAATTTTAGATGATTGATTAATTTTAATTATGTTTGATTAGACGAATATGTAAGGTTTAGGATTTTTAGATATTAATTGATTATAATAATTTTAATTAGTTGGGGTATGTAAGGTTTGGGATTTATTTTTAGATGTTTGATTAATTTTAATTATGTTGATTAGATGTATATGTAAGGTTTAAGTTTTAGATGAATTAATTTGATTGTAAATAATTATTAATAAGTTGAGTAATGTAAGGTTTTAGGATTTTTTGAGAATGATTAATTAATTTTGATTATGTTTGATTAGAGACGTATATGGAAGGTTTAGAATTTTTAGATGATTAATTCATTGTAATAATTTTAATTAGTTGGGTATATTAAGGTTTGGGATTTTTTAGATGATTGATTAAGTTTAATTATGTTTGATAGACGTATATGTAAGGTTTAGGATTTTTAGAGGATTAATTGATTATAAAACTTTAATTAGTTTGAGTATGTAAGTTAGGTATTTTAGATGATTGATTAATTTAAAATTTTATTTGATTAGACGTATATGTAAGGTTTTAGGATTTTTAGATGATTAATTGATTGTAATAATTTTTAATTAAGTTGGGTATGTAATGTTTGAGATTTTTTTAGATGAATGATTAATTTTAATTATGTTGATTAGACGTATAAGTTAAGGTTTATGATTTTTAGATGAATTTAATTGATTGTAATAATTTTAATTAGTTGGGTAAGGTTAAGGTTTGGGATTTTTTTTAGATGATAGATTAATTTTATTATGTTGATTAGATGTATATGTAAGGTTTTGGATTTTTAGATGATTATGTTAATTTTTTTAATTTATGTTTGATTAGATGTATATGTGCTTACACAGAGATAGAGCGGAGCACGTCTGTCAACGACTTATGCTAACCAAAAGATCCTTACCGCTAACCGCTTGACGGGATACTTGGAGCAACGCGACTTGGGTGACGTCCCACTCAGCCTCTCACTATGCTACCTCTCAATGGCACAAATCCAGGAATAACATAGTAAATAGTTTTATTTTATTTAGAATTAATTACTTTCATATATAGTCCAATTGATTAAGATTCTGGAGGGAGGAGAGGCCGATTGGCTCTTTGCTAATTTGGACATAGAAATGTCTTTATGTACGGGAAGTTGACTGAAAGCTACTTGCCATTCATTTGAATGCAAGTCTAACGTGTTCTGGAAAGGCATCGAGGCGTATACCCAACGTGTTCTGGAAAGGCTCGAGCTGTATACCAAATTTAGGTCAAAATACCAGGCATGCAGTGAACACTACGAGATGTAGGTTGTACTAATGAGCGAAGCTCCACTTATGGGTGCTATGGAAAACAAGTTTAAGCCCATGGTCCAGATCTCTCGGT